GGCGTCTCGCGTCTTTAAACGAAAGAACGCGTTCTGTGAGGACGGCACCTTGCACACTCATGCTAACATGCAACTGTACAGTACGCAGGCATACAGACATTGAAGCAAGGGGCGATTTTAACGTTAGTTTGATATAAACTGGTGTTCAAGCACTTTATAATGCCAACTTTATTATTTTTCCAGTATCACTTAACTGTAATTTTGGCTAAGAGCCCTTTAAAAGAAGGCCAGGTTTATTTCACATTAAGCTTGTCTTCAGAGTGAGGCCAGTTTATTTTATTTGCACTGGCGGACATTCGCAAAATATCTTTAAATGTTAGCATCGTGTACTTGCACCCTGATTTCACTAAGTATGCCACAGTACTGTATCTACATATGGCCTATTTTCAGGAGCACTTTCTAATTTAAATCAAGATATATCATAAATCAACTTCTAAAATACCAGACAGGACTTTAATCTGAACTATTTGATTCTCTACAGCAGTGGTTCCCAACCCTGGTCCTGGAGGCACCCCAACACTGAACATTTTGCATGTCTCCTTTCTCTGATACGCCACATTTCAGGTCTTGCAGTCTCTACTAATGAGCTGATGATCTGAATCAGGTGTGGCAGGGGTGGGCAAACTTGGCCCTTCCAGGCCACTTTCCTGCAGAGATTTGATCCAACCCTGATAAAACTCACCTGCCTGTAGCCTTCTAGTAGTATTGAAGACAGTGATTTGCTGGTTCAGGTGTGTTTGATTAGGGCTGGAGCTAAACTTTGAAGGAAAGTGGCCTGGAAGGGCCAAGTTTGCCCACCCCTGCTCTACAGCTACCATTTTAGTCCAGAACAAGTTTAGAATAAAACCCCCTTTTTTTTTTTTTTGACAATTTGATTATCAAAGATTTAAATAGCTGCAAGTGATTCAGGAGAAGAGGCCATTTTAAGAGACACATTGAACCAGTTCCCTCATTTATTTCTCCCAGTGGAAACCACATGGATTTGGCAGGAAGGTGTTGACAATTGATTCTGAAATACCTCAAATGTTTTGTGTAAAGTTTATGTAATTTAGATTAAACTAATGCTAATTACAACGAGTACACTAACACTACTAAGACTAATAATAGTTAGTTTTTGAACTTGTGACTTGAAGCTTTATACTGTTAAATTGTGTTTTTGTTGGTGTTGTTGTTTGGTTGACTCATTTGCCAATTTCTTGTCTATTATTATTATTATTATTTTGATTGATGGCGGTACATAATTCTTTATAAAAGAAAGACATTTGAATGTTTAGACACACCATGAAAGGAAAGGGATTTGTGAGTGGAAGAAAGCAAAAAAAAAAAAAATGTATTTGAAAGATGACAGAAAAGAGCAAAATCACAAATACGCTGAATTTCCAATATATGCATCAAGTTTCTAATAATTAGTTTCAGCATTATTCAAATGTTAATTTATTTTTTCTTTATATAAAGCTCGATTGTGTTAAGTGCTCCTAGCATAAATTTAAAAAATAATGAAAAAACAAACTCCTCCCATTTGAGGACACTTTTTTCTGCATGACTATTGTATACTGTATAGAGTAAAGCTGGATCAACCTGGACTTTGGTGGGAACGACTAGGACGAATAGACCCCGGGGGAAGTTGGACATGGGTGGGAAGGGTGGTAAAAGTGTTGGAGGGGTCTTTGTTTTGTAGTTTTCTGTCACTTGTTTTTCACTGGTTGTGTGCATGTATTGTTGCAGCCCTCTCTGCCCTCCTTGTATTTCTTTTATGTATATAACTCTTTATAATGGGGCATGACCGTGTATCCTGGGCAACTGAACTTGGTCATGGACCCCTATGTACACACGTCTCCTCTTCTGAAATGTAATATTGTGTGCATTTGTTTACATGTGGCGTGTTTCTCGATTTGGGTTGCACACCATTTCACACAAAACTGGAATGCTACTGGCCAGTTTTTTTTTGCAACAGACTCCTCCAACCAGAAATGGTCTCTCATTGACTGTAAAACAGCATCACGTACATGTTTCTCTCAGGGTCTGTCTGCAGATCCAACCCCCCAGTCACACTGTGCTCTTCCTCTTCTGTTACCTGTCAATCAATCAGAACCAAGTGTCTTTGTGATGGTAGAAGACAATCAGTTTCAAAACAAGGCGAAAAAATGGTAGAGAGAAGACAGGCTGAGAGGAGGAGGAGAAGAGGAGAAAGAAAAGAGGCTCTCACTGGTTGCAAGTAGGTGACTGCTGCCCTATTTAGCTTGCTGTGGTGCTTATTGGTGTGCAGCGTCAGCTAACTTTGCAAACACTCGTCCCTGATAATCTTAAAGTAGCATTGCATAGTAATGCATCAAAAACATTCAAGTCTTTCAAGGAGATTTAACTCCCACAAGAAATTTTAACCACCAAAAATGTACAAAAGAAGTAACAGTTTAGCACTTTAATGCCAACAGTGATGCGAACAACTAATGTTCACTTTAGAATCTAGCTACATTTTGTCTCAGAGGGTTAGTTCACCCAAAAAAACACGTGATGCAGCTGACACAGAATAGCATACGCTGTTTACGTTCAGTGGATACTCTCCAAAATGGCACCAGGGTGATGTGGAGGAGACGAATTGTTGAATAAAGTAGTTTTTTTTTCTTTTGCGCACAAAAAGTATTTTCATATCTTCGTAAAATTACGGTTGTACCCCTGATGTCACATGGATTACTGGACATTGATCGCGTAAGGATCCTTGCTGTCTATGGGAGGGTCAGAGAGCTCTCAGATTCCATCAAAAATATGTTAATTTGTGTGGTTGAAGATGAAAGGTGGTCTTACAGGTTTCGAACAACATGAGGGTGAGTAATTAATGACAGAATTTTCATTTTTGGGTGAACTATCCTTTTAACTACTCCCACACTGCTCGACTTTAATTGAAAAGATTTAAGCCCTGCAGTGTGTATTGAAAAGAGCTAGTGCAGACAAATGCTAACATTTGCGCTAACAATGCCCCTAATAACCACAAACCAGTCAATAAAGAGCTGCTGAGGCTGGTTGTCTTTGCAGAGAGAACTATGCAAAAATACAAAGAAAAGAAAAGCCTTTACCTCAATCTTAATCGATGTGGTTGGTTCAGACTTTTTTCCAGTTCCTCAAAATCCACTTCAGTCACTAGGATGATGTTCAAGAATACCTGTACCAATTATTGATTAAAACACTTGAAATGTTACCTGCTTAGTAAACTGTATTAAAACTAGCCTTCACTTCAGTGGGATTAGCAAATCTGGTTTGTTGGTTTTTATAAATGCTTTGGGCACTTGGCAGGCTGAGAGACCAACTAAATGATAAGCTAACCTAGCTAAGACCAGCAAACCATCTTGAGCTGGTTGAAGTGTTTTTTTTTAAGCAGGGAATTGCAGTGTAGCAAATTAGCCCAGATTATTTAATACTGAAAAACTATATATAGGGAGGAGTGTTTGCAAAGTAAAAAGCTCATGCACATAAACTCTTCTTAGAGCACATCTACCCAAGCCAAAGATTGATCCAAGGGTAAAGACAATCCAAAAAAAACAAAAAACAACAACAATCAATGTGTGTTTCTGAAGCTGTTGAGATGCCTGGCTGACTATATTTGACAGGTGTAAGGATTTCCCTTTCATAAATTTAAGTTCAATGTTAAGACCTAGTCCAGGAAATATTAAAGGTGCAATAGGAGATTTTGGAAAATGCTAACTTTAGCCTGATATCACTGAAAGCGAACGTACCACCCTCCCTGAAATCGCCGTCCAAAGCCACGCCCCCTGAACACATATACAACATTACTACAATAGGCTACATCAGCGGTTCCCAATTCCAGTTGTACTTCGAAGTGAATTAAACTTTAAACGGATTTCCCCCGCTCAGGGAGTAGGGAGCAATGAACACTGTGTAGGGATCATATCGATCGGAACACAGTTCATGCACGTAGCTCTCTTCTAACGAGCTGGTTATCTGAATCGGGTGTGTTAACTAAGCGAGACATGCAAAATATGCAGCTCGAGGACTGGAATTGGGAACCGCTGGGCTACATCATGTGTCATTCATCCGTGAGAAAACTTTAAAAATACTACAATACCAGGAAGGAAGATCGGGTTGTTGATGTTTGTCTGTCATTCTCGCTCTGTCTGCACAGCGTGCGTGAACGCGCTGATGACGTTTTGACTGAGCGTTTTGATTGGATGAACATTTCTTGGTCTTACGCCTTCCACAGAATATATAAATACAGATAAACACATGTAGACCACTTAACTTAATGATTGCTATCGGGATGTGAAGAGACTTTCAACCAGCATAACAAAAAATGTTTCTGAAGACAATCACCTATTGCACCTTTAAGGAGAAAACACCTGTCCTTGTTTAAAATCTTCTGCACAAGATTTTGCCGGTTTTAATATCCATTCGAAGCTTCACATTCACACACAAACTTGAATATATTTTCAATTAAATATTTAATTGAGAATATATTTTCAATTAAATATATTTATTTGTAAAATTTTATACAAAAATACAAGTATATTTAAAAGATCTAATATTACAAACTAAAGAGGATGGGATTTAGCTTTTATCAACTATTTGGCCCTATGATGCGCATAATGTTATGACAAATTGGGGATTTACAACTTTTTTTGCATTTTAAAATGTTCAAACCCTCCCCAACACACACAAACTTGTTCTCAGGCAGCTGTTAAAGGTAAAAGGGCATGCTATTATGGAGAGCCTCATTCCTCCTCCTGTCCTACAGGGGGAGCCAGAGAGCCTGTGGAGCACTTTTCATTCAGTGCAGGAAGGAGACAAATTGGAATAATAACTGTTACAGGGAAAAAAAAGGTAATATGGGTAAATTGCGTGTTTTGAAATAAAATAAAACCACTGTTGAACATTTTCACGCTATTGTCTGTTTATTTATCTAGCCTGGATTTCACTGCAGCAATGAAGATAAAAAAGAATATATTTTCAATTAAATATATTTATTTGTAAGATTTTATACAAAAATACAAGAATATTTAAAAGATCTAATATTACAAACTAAAGAGGATGGGATTTACCTTTTATCAACTATTTGGCCCTATGATGCGCATAATGTTATGACAAATTGGGGATTTACAACTTTTTTTGCATTTTAAAATGTTCAAACCCTCCCCATAACATTAAGTATTGGCAAAATGGTCACTATCAATTAGATTAGGTGTATTCTGGGCCTCCATTTTGGAATTGCACCAAAAACCCTAGGTTTCAGGACCACGGACTTTTTAAAATATATATAAAAATAAGAATTAAAATATTTGCTACTCATATCACATTTTCAGTGCATGACAAAACACACTGAAGATGCTAGCTAGCATGCCACATCACCACTATTCATTTCTATAAGTGAACCCTGTGGAGATTCTTTCTTCAGACTATCTGCTGTAACTCTCCTGTCCTGTGGGGGTGCCGTAGAGGGAAGCCCAACTCCTGTGGTGATTAACTTTCCAAAACCTTTCCCTTGGGACACCGCATAGGATGAACGACGCTGAAGGGTACCTCTCTGAAACCACGACTTCAGCTCAACAGGCTTATTCGAGCTGTGGATCTGCATGTGGGAAAAGGACAATACGGTGAGCACAGACAATAACACAACATGCCTTATATGCTAATTGTGACAAAAGGATTTGTGATAGGAAAGTGGAGATCAACCTTATGTTTGTTGGGGTTTGTTAGCACAACACCTAAGGCCCGTATGGTTATTGAGGGAAGGACAGCAATACAGGTGGTCACACATATGGTCAGCCAAACCTCAGGGGTACTGTAAGCATTTGGTGATGCTCCTGAAATTTCAAGATTCAGATAATCAACAGCATTTCAACATTAAGGGAATCTGCTTGAAATCCCTTATAAAGAGTTTCTGCATTTGTATATTTCACAGCTTAAAGTCTTTTAACACTGCCTCCTGGTGGTGTGTATAAATACAGAGAGTCTCAAAAATTCAGCTTGTGAAAACATGAAAGGTTCACATGTTCATATATATATATATATATATATATATATACACCCACAGTTGTGTGCAAAATTTTACATACACTTTTTACATACACATGCAGTATCTGGAAAATATTATTTTACCAAAATAAGAGGGTTCATACAAAATGCAAGTTATTTTGTTTTCCAGCATCTTTTGCATATTTGAACCCTTTCCAACAATGACTATGATTTTGAGATCCATCTTTTCACACTGACGACAACTGAGGGACTCATATGCAACTATAATAAATGGTTTAAACGCTCACTGATGCTCCAGAAGGAAACACAATGCATTAAGAGCGTAAACTTTTGAACAGAATGAAGATGTGTACATTTCTCTTATTTTGCCTAAATATCATATTTAGTACTGCCCTTCAGAAGCTGCAGAAGATACATGTTTCCCAGAAGACAAAATAAGTTCAGTTTACCCTGATCTTCAAATTCAAAGTTTTCACCTCCAAGCTATTAATGTATCGTGTTTCCTTCTGGAGCATCTGAGCATTGCGTATGTGTCCCTCAATTGTCCTCAGTGTGAAAAGATGGATCTCAAAATCATACAGTCATTGTTGGAAAGGGTTCAAATATGCAAAAGATGAGGAACAGTGCTCAGTTTAGTTGTTCAGGACAAACAAGGGACTCATGAACAACCAAAACAAAACAAAACAAAAAACAGCAGTGGATCATCCAGGTAACAACACAGTATTAAGAATCAAGTGTAAACTTTTGAACGGGTCATTTTTATAAATTCAGCTATTATGTTCTCTTGTGGAATATATGTAAATGTTTTTTATGTGATTATTCAAGTCAGTACTAAATAAAAAAGAACATGCATTTTGTATGATCCCTCTTATTTTGGTAAAATAATTAACATTTTGCAGATACTGCAAAGTGTATGCAAAATTGTAACCACAACTATATATATATATATATATATAGAGAGAGAGAGAGAGAGAGACAGAGAGAGAGAGAGAGGGAAAATAAATATATAAAACTAAATCTATAAAATTGAAAATGAATGACAAATAAATAAAACATTTTCTAATATTCATTCTAAATTGTAAAAATATTTACCAAATTAAATTATTCCAAAAATGTACACATAATTCTTTCTAATACTCATTCATTTTCAGTTAAAATATTTATTCAGTTAAAATTATTTTTAAGTCTGACATTTAAAAACAAATGTAATATAATTACAAACATTTACTTTCACTTATCCAATTTTTAATTGGTTCATATTTTTTTAAAGTCTACAACATTACTTTATAAACGCATTTAAAAACGTTACTTTAAAAACGTATATAATTATGCATAAGATTTAAATGCATTTTGTTATATCCACATATTTTCTGTTCTAAAATCAAAATCAAAAATCAGTTATTTACTTCTAAAATCTATAATATTTTTATATTTATTTTATATAATATTATTATATTTTATATTTAAATTTTTTTAAAGTAATTTGTGTTTCTTGGATAAATCATGGAAACCAATACAATCATAAAAATATATTTCATATATATCATAAAATATATTTTAGATAAATAAAACTAGCACCTAAAATTACTTTTTACAAGTGCATTTCCTATAAAATTGGAGCCTTGATGGGGTGATATAGAAAGTTTACTACTTGATTAGATTCATCTCTTCTTTCAGGGATATGTTATTTACATGAACAATGATTAATCTGCAGACATGAATACCCAGAAAAAAGTAATCTTTGGGTGAGGCAGTGAAGAGCCGAGCACTATGGAGAGCCAGCATGGACAGAAAGAATGCCACCAAACTAAAAACAACTGCTGCAACGCTGTACTTGGTCCAGAATTTTGTATGTAGAATAACCTAAAACCGACAGACAGAAACAAAATTATACCTTTATTTAATCAATATACTTTTATTAAATATTATCGTAGCCTTTGTTGATGCCATCTAGTTACCTCAACAGTCATGGTAAGCACTACAGATGTTTGAACCGTTACAGCTAAAGTCTGATAATCGAGAGCAGAGTACTGCAATATTCCCATAGGGATGAAGAACAGGATGATGGAGGTGTAGATCGAGTAGAGGAGCGTGATGGCCAGAACTAAAGGATTGAAAAGCTGCTGCTTCTGTCCAATCGAGTAGATCTCAGGCCAACGCAGACAACTCTTGGCGCTCACATCCTATCATGGAGTTAATGTAAACAGTAAGACTTCCAGATGAACCAATCAGATGTTAGATTTCTTGTGATCTGTTTGTATTTAGCGCACCTGTTCAAAAAAACCCATGCACTGTATAGGCAGGGATGTGTACAGTGTTGTGTAGAGGCTAATAAACCAGCTCTCATACATAGGCTGGAAAAGAGGGGAAAAATGCACCAAAATAAGCTGCTCATGTCATTTCTTAGAGAAACAATACTGCATGTTGTTTTGACTGTTTGACTGTAATGACAGATATTTTTGCAGTGTTGGTGGGTGTAAAGTGAATTAAGTGACCTAGTTGCTCTACCTGAGCGCTGAAGCCATTGTAGAAACTATACCAAATGTGCACCAGAGCAAAAGCAGTGGTTTTGTAGAGGAAATAGCGCAGAAGGATGCAGATGCGGTAGTATGACCAGTGCCCGTGTACCAACAGCAGCCTGCGAAGGAAGCTGAACTGTGCCAGAGCGAAATCTGCATTCTGCACCGCCTGACTGCCCTCCATGCCGCAAAGACCAACGCCTATATGTGCCGCTGGTGTATATACGAGAGATTAGTTGATTAGCAATGTGATAATTTGCTAGAGAAATAACAAATAATGCATTTAAATAGTTGCTGTTTTGATCAAACAGGAAATTTCTCACTCTTGATCATGTTGACATCGTTGGCACCATCGCCTATCGCCATTGTAATCGAAGTCGAATGCTTCCTGACCATCTCCACCACTTCCGCTTTTTGCGCCGGTGTGACACGACAGCACAATACAGACTGGCACTGATCGGACAGAGCAACAAACTTTGCCCCCCATTCTGGCGTTCTGGTCAATTCTGCCTGTAATGTTCAGAAAATAAACAGGGACACATATTAATACATCATTAATATTGTGAAAAATGATCGCAATTTAAAATAACTGGTTTGTATTGTAATATATTTTCAAATGTAATTTATTCCTGTGTTGTAAAGCCGAATTTTCAGCATCATTACTCCAGTCTTCAGAGTCACATGATCCTTTGGAAATCATTCTATGCTGATTTGCTGCTCAAGAAACATTTCCTATTATTATCAACGCTGAAAACAGTTGTGCTGCTCAACATTTTTGTGGAAACGTATACCTTTTTTTCAATAGAATAGCATTTATTAGAAATAGAAATCTTCTGAAGCATTATAAATGCCTTGACTGTCACTTTTGATCAACTGAATTCATCCTTCCTGAATAAAAGTATTACTTTCTATTATTGTACTGTATATCTAAAATGTTCAGATTTAAAAGCATGAACCTTTGGCTTTATATGCTCACCAGTTCAGGACCCGAAATTACTAGTGCTGCTTTGCTCTTCACCGCTCTCCTGTCTGTGATCCAAACCTCCGGCTCTTTAGACATGACATGAACATCTGGAGAAGGAGACTCTAGAAGCTGCCTGGAGATGTTGACAACAGTCATGTTGAGTTATATTACATGTGAATGTGTATTTGTATAAGACGTGCAATGAAAACATTTTTTTTTCTGTTCTCACAAATTCACAACCTATTAGAACACATTTGATGCTTAACAGACAGCTATATGGATAGGATCATGGACCAATTAAATGTCATTGTGGGTGTGGCTATCTAGCGTGACGTGATAATAATAGAAACAAAGCAAAATGACCAACTAGTTGCAACCATACTTCTATATGCTTCAAATGGTGACAGGAGGTACATACAGTTTGAGGCTGCATCCAAAATCCCATACTTCCCTACTACATAGTCGGCAAAAAATGGTGTGCTAAAAGAGTAGCATGTCTGAATTCACAGTATTCATAAAACAAAACGGCTGCAAGTAATTACTTATTCAAAAGAAGTACCTGCTCAGAGAATATGTGATTTCGGACACAGTCTAAATATCTAGAAAATGTGTGGTCATAAAAGTCTCATGCTTTTAAAAATCTTTTGCAATTGTAGGGGTAATAATAATAATAATAATAATTATTATTATTATTAAACATTTCATTTTATTTAAATTATTACATAATATAACTATGATTTAATAAGCATCATCACATCATTATTATTATTAATAATAATATACATTTAATTATTAATTATATTAAATATAATTAGTGAATAATGATTATAATAATGATAATAATTCTTTATATAATTAAATTATTACAAAATACAAACATTAAATTATAAAATGAAAAAATAAATATTACTATTAATAGTTATTACTATTTTATTATTATACATAGTATAATATGTTATATTATACATTTTATTATTGTACAGAAAATTTTAACATACCACTTTCAACAAACTGTGATGTGGGGCACATTAATACTACATTTTTTAGTATGGGTAGTTTGCAAATTGGGTGCTTGTCACAGTAACAGCTGATTCGAATAATCTCCGATTGTAGAAATGTTAGATATGCCTGTATTTTCTGACCTAAGCTCCTCCCCTTGAATTAGGGTCGTGTCTGGATCCATAAGTTTGCAGGCATATCCCACATTCACAGCCGTTTCTGTTGGGAAGAAGTAGCAAACAGCATAAATTTGTTTTAATTTACTGTTTTAGGTTCTTGAAACCAGCTTATACATATGCTGAAACGGCACCTGTTTTGTCTCCCGTCAGCACCCACACCTTCAACCCCGCCCTCCGCAGGGTGGCGATGGTCTCGGGGACACCTTCCTGGAGACGATCCTCAATGGCAGTCACGCCCAACAGCTACACAAACAGGATTGTTTAATAACAGAACACTACATGCTTTTGATAATTTGCCATCCTAAAGTTGACTCCAGAGACAATTAGTGTTTCATAATAACTCCCTTTGAGTACCGTTAAGTCTTTTTCCATTTGATCATATATCTCTTCGAGCGCAGTCTCCTGGTTACCCGTCCATGTGCCCGCCTGACTGAGGGTGCGGCTCCACTCTGTCCACAGGGCTTCAGGAACCGAGCGCACCGCCACACACAGAGTCCTCAGACAGCTCTGAGCGAACAGCTGCCAACCGCACACACATCCAAAGACATCAACAAATGCCTCATACGTAAACTCATACTCAACCATTTTCCTTTCACACAATAACGATAACTATGAAGATAATTATATTAGCATCCACACCAACACACAACAACGTTGTTTAATTCATGATAAGCATGGTGCAGTTATATCATCTGCTACGTTAAAGGGGTCATGAACTGAGAAACCAAAATTCCCTTGATATTTTGACATATAAGAGGTCACTGCACTATAAAAACATCCTGTAAGTTTCAGAACTCGAAACTTTCAAGACATCAACAAATGCCTCATACGTAAACTCATACTCAACCATTTTCCTTTCACACAATAACGATAACTATGAAGATAATTATATTAGCATCCACACCAACACACAACAACGTTGTTTAATTCATGATAAGCATGGTGCAGTTATATCATCTGCTACGTTAAAGGGGTCATGAACTGAGAAACCAAAATTCCCTTGATATTTTGACATATAAGATGTCACTGCACTATAAAAACATCCTGTAAATTTCAGAACTCGAAACTTTCTCGTTAGTCTAAAAACAGCTTATATTGAAGCCAATCTGCCAAAATGACAACTTGTGGAATGTACGACTATAATGTAATAGTGTGGATAAACACCGCCTCCGCAGAAGATCAACACCTGCTTCTACATCACTGCCTGTTTAGCCCCGCCCACCGATTCACGCATAGCGTAAATAACGAGAGGCGAAAGCACAGGTCTTTGCAGAAATCAACCAAACGATAAAGATGGCTCTGAAGACAATACGATGCTGTGCAGTCGTTGAATTGTCTTCCTTCTGATCCCATCCTTTTCTCGTTAGTCTAAAAACAGCTTATATTGAAGCCAATCTGCCAAAATGACAACTTGTGGAATGTACGACTATAATGTAATAGTGTGGATAAACACCGCCTCCGCAGAAGATCAACACCTGCTTCTACATCACTGCCTGTTTAGCCCCGCCCACCGATTCACGCATAGTGTAAATAACGAGAGGCGAAAGCACAGGTCTATGCAGAAATCAACCAAACGATAAAGATGGCTCTGAAGACAAGACGATGCTGTGCAGTGCCAAGTTGAGGAAAAACAGTCGTTGAATCGTCTTCCTTCTGATCCCAACCTTAGGAAAGAGTGGATGAACTTTATTTTTAATGAAGATCCAGACCCCGTAAGTAAGAACTTGGTCCTTTGTTCACTTCATTTTAACGCAGATTCGTTTACAAACAAGGCACAATTCGACGCGGGATTTTCAAAAAGATTGAAACAGACGATGCTGTGCCAACTATATTGGATCCGACCGTAATGTCTCAACACAAGTGTGAGTAACTGTTTTTATTACATGATCACTATTGCTTTGTCTTTTCTTACAGATGTTTGAGTATTTAAAAGTTTTTGGATCTAAATCACAACAGCATCCATCTATGAAGGATGTAGGCCAGATTCCTCAATAGGCGGCCGCGGGCCACATCCGGCCCGTGAGAGAAAAAAGTTTGGCCTGTGCTAATTTCAAATTAAAAAAATGAAAATTCAAATGCAGCATCAGAAAGCTACATTAACTTACACTGTGTCTACACCGGACGCCAGCGGCGCGGCGCGACACGACAAACCCCTGACAGTAAACTGCTGACTCGTTAGAACTTGGTCCTTTGTTCACTTCATTTTAACGCAGATTCGTTTACAAACAAGGCACAATTCGACGCGGGATTTTCAAAAAGATTGAAACAGACGATGCTGTGCCAACTATATTGGATCCGACCGTAATGTCTCAACACAAGTGTGAGTAACTGTTTTTATTACATGATCACTATTGCTTTGTCTTTTCTTACAGATGTTTGAGTATTTAAAAGTTTTTGGATCTAAATCACAACAGCATCCATCTATGAAGGATGTAGGCCAGATTCCTCAATAGGCGGCCGCGGGCCACATCCGGCCCGTGAGAGAAAAAAGTTTGGCCCGTGCTGATTTCAAATAATGTGGCATGAAAATTCAAATGCAGCATCAGAAAGCTACATTAACTTACATTGTGTCTACACCGGACGCCAGCGGCGCGGCGCGACACGACAAACCCGACAGTAAACTGCTGACTCGTTCTATTTATAACGTACTGACACAACGTTCAAATGATTTGCAATGCTTTGTCGCGTCCAGTGTAGATAGATGTGACAGCAAAAACATGGCGAGTGTGTAGAAAAGAAAAGTCGACACGGAAAATAGATGATTAAAATGTGAATGGACTGAACCGTTTTGAGTGAGTGACTGACATATACCATCTCTGTTATGGAATAGGCTACACGTGTTGGTTCGCAGTGAGTTCACAGTTTTAAAGTATAAGTTTGCTTTAATTTATTTTCAAGATCTGAGGTAAAATATCTATTGTTGCTTTCACTATGGCTATAAAGATAATGCAAAATAATATTCAAACTCACATTAGACACTTTTAACATTGAATAAAGCACATAATCATTACCTGACATTATCACTGTCATATTTTATATGTTGTTCCTTCCGCCATGTTGCAGAAAATAAAAACCGTTCCTAAAATAGAATCCCATGTTGCTTATTGTCACGTGTCGCTGTCGCGGGTGGTTAGGACAAAAACTACATGGAAAAGATACTTTTTATCTTGTCGTGTCTGGTTGGGACACACGGTGTTACAATCATAGCAGTGGGCGTTTACTTCCGAGTCTACGATCCACCACGTCTATTCAAACAGAGGGTTCAGATGGGGGAGTTAAACAGGACAGAAAAAGATGTTTTTTTAATGTAAAAATCTTTATAAAATAAGGGGACCTCAGAGAACAGTACAAAATAATAAAGCCAGTTCACGATCCCTTTAAATGCTCTCAAGCTCTTTAAAGTTGAATAGATTCTGATTAGCTGTCAATAACTATTCATTTTCCATCCAATGTTGTGAATTTATCTTATGCAGAAAATGTGAATATTGCATAAAACATTTGTGAATAAAGCACGGTTTCCATCCATTGTGTTCAAGAGAACAAAATTCCCACTTCCTGGTGCTAATTATAAATAATAAAAATTAAAGTTGCTGCAACAAGGAAGCCTGTGGCTCTTTTTCCTACATAATAAATGACTTGCGCCTTAGTGTGCAGATGAAATGCAATAGCAAACTCTGCCATGCTATCTTGCATTCGAAGGCAAATGATGTTTGGGAAAGTAATCTTGTGAGACCGTTCTAAACCAAATCATATCGATGATGGACTTTGGCATTTCAGAATGATTATAACAATGGATGGGCCTTTAAAGTCGCCTCACCTCTAGAGCTCTCTCGGTGCTCTCCTGAAGTGGCCGGTCCGTTTGAAGCCTTTCCAGAACAACAATATCTGCACCTTTACAGTACAGCTTCAACTGTCCTCCAGGGTCCCGCACTACACAAACCCATACATTAACCCATATGTTAATATGGTTTTTACACATGACGAATCACGCTGCAAGACCGTGACAACGTCGTACTGAGGGGAAACCCTGTGCTCAAAAAGCCCAGCGCCCACAGCCAGGAGAAGAGCTGTTGTTAGCATGAACAGCAGAATCTGAAACATGATTAAAAAAAAAAGTTAGATGGGGAACATTTTCAGACAGATTCATAAGAAACATTCATAAAGACAAGTGTGTTAATACATAAAGAAAACAACAAAAAAAAAAAACTAAACAAAAAAAATAAAAACACAAATCTAAAAATAAAAATATATAAACAAAATTAAAATAAATAGTATAAATACATTTTAAAAATATAAATAAAATAAATGTATAATACAAATATACACAAATAAAAAAACAGTCACAAAAAAATTAGCCTAAATAAAAAAAATAAATGGAGGTCTTCACAGTTATATTTTTGATCATTAAAATGAGCTTTTAATTAGTAAAAAAATTAAAAAGTATTTCTTACTGCAATTAATCAAATGTAGTAAGATCACTCTAACCAATTATATATGATATTTGCATATGATTTGAATTGTTATATACAGCTAAGAAGGTCAACGAGTGATTGCACAATCAATGCACTTAAAAAGCTACTATTCAGGCCCTTCATGTTAATTTTAAGTTAATAGTTTTAATTTTAAGATAATAGTTGATGTAAAGTTATACAGTTTCTTTCTCTCTCTTACCACCAACACAGTTTTGTTTAGTAGTATTTCCACTTGAGTTTTCTTCAGTTTCAGTTTTCCACAGTTTTGCAGAATTTTACTATCTGAGCCTGTTATGGTCAAAGAAAAACAATACATTTTTCATCTGTCAACCAAGGCCATTTGAAACAATAGGTCTGCACAGGACTGGTAGTGTTTAGGCTACAAATAGCACAGATTTTATTTACCTGTGTATATGGCTAATCCATAAACTATGTTCGTGTTTCGCAGCACAGTCCCTCGGAGGAGCAGGTGGTCTGTGTCCAGAAGGTGGTGCTCTCCTTTCCAATGTAACTCACCTTTGAAGGAATGCAAATTACCGTTTGGTTCTTCGCACCACACAATACCTAAGGTAAAAAAAAGAGAGAGAGAGAAAGAGTCAAAGAAATGAATAGAAAGCTTATCTTCTGGTCACTACAAATGAATGACTCCAATGTTTGCCGAGTCCATACAAACCATCAAAGGCTGCCAGGTTTTCCTTAACTGAATCTCCATTCAGCTCAGTATGAGTTACACTAAGAGCCTGGCGAAACTTCAAGTTGGTTTCTCTGCAAACAGCAGAATAATAGAGTGTAAGAACAATGCAAACATGCTACATTAGCACTGGAGCTAATCTTCCACAACATGGTATATTTGGTGTATTTAAAGATGGTTCTTTAAAGTTTCTTTACACATAGTAACAGTTCTATTTAGAACCATATGAGCCTGAAGAATCCTTTTTATTGTTGTTGTTGAAATAGTTTAAGGTTCTTTATTCCCGCCTTTTTGTTTTTCAAATCTGTAACTGTCGAAGCCACCTCATCCAACTACACAGACTGTCAACACACTCTTAACAGGTAAATTTCTTTCTGAAAATGTCTATAAATTTAAAGTTTCAAACTGTAACTGGTTTCCTAACAATAAAGTCTTTTGTTATTTTTAGTTTAACCGAACATGTAAATGTGACCAGCTTTCATATCTGCCGTGGGAATGCTAGTCAGTCAGTTCTGCTGTGTGTCCAGAAGGAGATGCTCTTACCCATCGATGTCTGCTGTTTCTACATAGCAAAGGCTGTGTGGCTCAGTGCTGAAAAGGAGGAGCAAATCTGCCTGGGATAAACAACAGAACAAACTTTAGGGTTGTTAGCATTAGCTAAACTTGTTTGCAGTTGATCTTAAGTGGGGAAATAACTTCATAGATCCACTAAAAGTCACTTTGAGACCAAAATGAGATCAGAAAGTTTGGTATTGGTATCTAATGCAATGAAATTCATATTTAAGTGTGACTTGTGTGCCCAAATACATTTTTGGCTGCTGGGTTAGAAACACAGATACACACACTCACAGGTATGATCTGGTCCTTATGAACCTGGAGAATTTCACCAACACGTACATCTTTCCACTTAACGGTTTTGAAGCTGCAAGGGAGATATTTAAGAGGAAGACTTTTTAAGTGAGAGATTCTCTGTAAATCTAAATTCGGTTGACGATGATGTGTTTGTTTTGTTTCTGAGCTTTCCAGGCCCCTGACAGCATTACTCACCCCTCAGGAGTGAGAATGTCACATGGGCGCCGGTTAATTTGTCCATCACTACGTCGTCTGCCCTGTGAGACGTGGGAGCAGAGGGAGCGTGATAGATAGATGTGGGAGTGAGGGGAAAATGGCTGAAAACTGAGATATGGCTGGTCTTCAGACTTCTATGTAAGTGAAAGTAGTTTAAAAGCATCGATTGAGAGAATGACATGAATGATAGACTCACCAAGTCTGTGGCTAGATCTTTACACCCACGCACAAGCAGAACAAACAGCAAAGGAAGCATAGTGCTGTACCAAGGGATGGTTGCAATTATAGGAACACACTGTAAATGAAATACGCACAAAACAGCTAAATTGCCACCTATTTGATTAAAAATGCATATAAATAAAAAGTAAATGGTCTGTATAAAGCCAATTTCTAATCCCAGCTGAACACCTCTGGTGTGACTTTAAATGCAGACCTTGTATTTCCATCTCTGTTGCAACAGTTTCGGAAGTGTCTAAAATGACTGTACCCATATGTACAAGTCACAGGTGTTTGGTGATGAGTTTTTGGCTCAAGGTCTGGATTTAAAGTCACACCAGAGGTGTTCAGCTGGGATTAGGACTTGGCTTTCTGCAGACCAGTCAAGTTCTTCCACACTGACTAAATCAATCATTTCTTTTTGAACCTTGCCTTACACAGAGGCATTGTCATAACTGAATAGAAAATGGTCCTGTCCAAACTGTTGCTATAAAATTAGAAGCACACAATTCCCTAGAATATCATATCATCGTAGTCAAACCTGTTCATTAGAAGGGGGTGTCCCAATACCCAATACTTTTGTTCATATAGTATATATATACTGTGTGTATATATATATATATATATATATTGTGTGTGTGTGTGTGTGTGTGTGTATATAATGTGCTATATATATATATGTATATGTGTGTGTGTGTGTGTGTGTGTGTGTGTGTATATATAAAAAATGTATATTCACACATTCACAAATTTATTTCAGAATATTATTATTAATAAATTATATGTAACTTAATACACTTATACTGGATTATTATAAATAATAAATTAATCAATATTAATCAGTTACTATTATATTATTTATATCAAGTTGGAAATCACCCAACAATATATTGGGTAAATAGTCTGAAAACTTTAAAACAAAGAAACAAAATGATGTAAAATAAATAAAAAATATTTAACATTCTGCACAATTTCCAATCAACTCAATGAAGAACTGTGGATCTTTTCATATATATATATGATCACATAGCTTAAGATCTTTATAAAATATACTTTATAGCCTACAAGCATTTGCATATTTGAAACATAAAAATATGAGCACATTTACACAAAATGGCCAGATTATACCGGAAAATTGAAGATATAACGTGTCCTATAGAGCCAATTTATTATGCCATTTCCAGTACAGACTCAAATGGGGTTAAGAATAAACCATAGCATTGCCAATATTAAGTTAAGTACTCACAAGATTTATGAATTGAAACTCAAATATTTACCCTATACAATCTAACTGATGTTTTTATGATTTCTCATTTATCTTATTTATTGTAAGAGGGTGTTTTTAGCCATGTCTATGTAGAAGTCTTTTTCAAACAGCAGGTGTTTTTGACTCACTATTTGCAAAAGAGCATGCTTCATTCATCATGAGTTCAAGGTGGCCACTCTAGTTCAGTATTCATAGGAAAAATGTGCTAGTCAAATAACTGGGTTTGGCATTTAAACGTGAATTAGCATCGTGAATCTTTCTGTCACAGAAATGCGAAATAAAACCCACAAACCTGCAAGACCACAATAAGTAGGAAGAAAAGATTCGCCATTCGCTGGAACTGTTCATACAGGTTAAGGGGCAAAAATGTCAGAGGGGTGTATTTGTAGCTCCGCACCACATTGTCCTGGAAACAAAACCCATTAGGAAAGTGTTAAACTAACGAATAAAACTGGGTACTTGCTGTCACACCACTGGAAACATCAACATATGTGTGGCAGCCCAAAGGTATCAAATGTTGTTTAATGCTTCCATAACTACTTCTCTCCAGACAATATGAATCAAAACGTTTCTCACGTACAGCATAACGCCCCCAGCGGAAACACAGGAAAGACTTGCGGCGACAGGACCGATGAAAATAACGCTCGTTGGCACGAACCTCCCATTTGAGTCCTGAGAAAAGATAATAGAACATCATGTCATCCAAAACTTTCAGAGTTAGAAATTAATCATTTTACAAGAATGAAAATTCTGAGCCACATCTTATCATAAGAGACAATTCCACCCAACATATGTTTTTAAATTGTGTGCCTGAAATATTACTGCTTTTTTTCTGCCAGTACTAAACACACACACCCAAATCTAGTTCATCTTCAGCCTTGAGATAGAAAACTTCACAAATAAATGTACTGCTAAATAAATGAATATATATATGAAGAGTTCAGATGCAAAAGCCTCTAAGTGCCATCTGAAATTTTCATCTAAAATTAGCATTTTTATAAGGAAAGAAAATATCAAAAGGCAATATATATATATATATATATATATTTATATATATATATTTATATTTTAAAAATAAATAATTTTGTTTTTTAATTATTTGCATGAAAAAATACGTTCATTAGATTAATTAAATAATTAATAATGCATGTTTAATGCCCTAATTAGACGTTTTACACTAAAAAGTGAGAAATATGAAAAACGTTTAATTTTATGTTTAATATTATGTTTAATTTTTAAATTTTATGTTGATTAAATGCTTGTATTATACAAACATTTAACACAATTTGTTTATTAAGAGTGGTTTACAGATTGTGTTAAATGTTTGTATAATACAA